TAAGCATTTTTTAACGCCTACACCCGTCATTTCTTACAAATATTCAGCCGATAAATACTAGTTTTCCCATGACTTTTTCTTTGCCTCGTGAACAAACTCCGGAAAAGTATTATCACCAAGTTGACGCCATCGGAAATTTTTGGAGGGAACTAGAATTCCCCCCCCCCCCCCAAACCCATTTTAAATCATCACAGTAACATCATAGAGAGAGAGAGAGAGAGAGAAGAGAGAAGAGAGAGACGAGAGGAGAGAGAGAGAGAGAGAGTATTATAGTCTTCACATGTTTTAAACTCTGGGTTTTGTGTTTTTTTGCCTGTACCGTGGGTGTTTGTTGGGGGGGGGCTCAGGGAATTATGTGTTTTTTTGGGGGGGTTTTGAGAGCGTTGAAAAAATCTTGGGAGGGGTGAAACACTTGTAATGAAATTGGGGGCTAGAAACAATTTTTCCCTTTATTTTATAAGAACTCTGCACAGGGAAAAATAATTATATGTACATATCATATCATACTCCCTTTAAAAGTGAAAGTTGTGAAAAAACTTTTCAATGACTATATTATCCCTATTTTTTAAATTACATTCTATTACTAACTAAACTAAATTAATTATTGTTGTTAATTAATTATACTATATGTCACTTCAAGTTTGTATAATTTGGTCCCTAAAACTTCTAACATTATTGTAAAACTTTACATTATATTAATTATTAGTAATTATAATAATATTTTAATAGATAGTTGCATATTAATAAGTATATATGGAAAGAGTAGAAAACGTAGAATTGTCCTAAAATTATACCATGACACTTATATAGAAAAATTACAAAGATCGTTCTTATGGTTAGGTAACAGGATAGAAGGTACAAACATAAAAATTTAGAAAATATTAATATATTTAAGTGTAGAAAAATACAAGTTGGGGTACATAAATATAATTTTGATAAACTATAAGTTATTTAAGTTCAGTTAAGCCTATAAAAAATTAAAACTTTTGTTATCTACAAACAAAAATATATAATCTCATTGATAATCAATATTCATCATACAATATGAGTCCAGATGCTTAGCTTATTTACTCCTCTATACTTAAAGGAGGATCCAAAAAATTGTAACCTTATAGTAGTCCTTCAAAAGCCCATTCTAAAGTTTTCTAAACAAAGTATATAATTTTAGGAAATAATTCAAAATCTTGAGACTTATTCAAAATATGGTGCTTTTTTAAGCATTGCATTTTGAACCTACCTCCTTCTGAGGTTTAATACATTTGATTTGGTTATTGTATGCGTAAAATTAGAAATCATGTCTACTGCTCTATACTTAAAAGGGTACTATTCATGATACAGTAAATTACTATAGCATGAACAGTAAATCTTTATGTCCTTTTTTAAGTATGCAGAGTAAATTTACTCTTCATACTACAATAATTTATGGTACCATGAATAGTACCCTTTAAGTATAGAGCAGTAGATATGATTTCTAATTTTACGCATACAATAATTAAATCAAATGTATTAAACCTTAGAGGAAGGTAGGTTCAAAATACAATGCTTAAAAAACACCATATTTTGAATAAGTCTCAAAATTTTGAATTATTTTCTAAAATTATATACTTTACTAAGAAAACTTTAGAATATGCTTTCGAAAGACTACTATAAGGTGGTGGACATGAGATAAATATTGAACAAATAAAATCCATGATATCAGATTACAGAAATTGGGAATATGTATACAATATTGGGCGTCATATGAGATAATATTCATATATAACATAATATTGTAATATGTAATCTAACATATTAATAAATTTTAAACATAATAGTTTGCATCGAGATATATGCTTAAGATTTTGGAGAGCTGATAATGCAGAGATTTTGGAGAAGAATTGTGGCTTTTGTGGGTTTTGGGGGGGTTTCGATTTTGTTTCCCAAACATGATTCAAACCCGAGCCCACAATCAAATTAAAAATGACATGATTATTTCGATATCTTCAAAAGGATAGATCATCCATATTTTTTATAACACTCGATGTATCAAAAAAATCACCAAATAAAAGAAAACAATATAAAATATTATCGAGATAAAGTCTTTAACACGATATATCGGCTGATATAGCAATATATCAACTGATGTTTAATACAATGCATATAAGAGCAAATATGTGAAAATTATTTAGATATTAGTTTCTTGATTTTAAGTATTCAATAATTCTATGTTATTCCCTAAAATTTTTAAAATTGCTCATAATTTTTAGGGACTAATATTAAATTATTAAAATTTTAAGGGACAAATTATAAATAAGCTATATTTAAAAGAAGAATTAATTTATTAAAATTGTCTCAACTATGGAGATTGTCTCAAAAAACCCACTCAACTAATTCAATTTAATAAATCCCCTTTATTATGGGGGTGTTATAGATAACCCCTCTCAATTTTGGTGCTATTTTAGAAAACACCCCTCAACTATAACATGTCTCATAAAAACTCCTATAATCTTTTACACTTTTATCAAGAAACCCGATAATATAGTTAATTTAATATGTGATTTGCACAAAATACCCTCTTGAAGAAAGATATTTTTTAGTTAAAAAGAAACGCTCAATCGGTAATAAAAGGATAGCAACCAATTTACAATTTTTTCCCTCTATATCACCTCTTTTTCTTTTATCTAGCAAAAACCAAGGTAATCCTTTTATGGTTGAGGGATATTTTGATCTTTTCAAGTCAAGTACTTGTCACATAATAGATAAGACTCAATGATATTAGTTTTGAGAGGTTAGGTTTTAGTTAGAAAAGTTCACGGGGGTTAAATCAAATTTTTTATGTTGAGATAGATCACCTACAAAACACCCAAAACTTGATGGAGATTTACTCAGATTCAAATAGCGTTTTTTTCACAAATTAAGGCACAAGTGACATCAATTTTATAAGAGTAGAGTCTATAACAGGACCATCACTCAATGAAATAATTTGTGTTATTTATCCTTAAATTTATCCTATACATCAACTCTGAAAAATCTTTTGCTAAAAAAACCTCTAAGAGAAACTTAATCTTTATTTGGGATAGGTATGTGATCCTTATGATTCCCCTTCTCTTTTATGATTTATAATAAATTATTGGATAAAGTAAATTAAGTTATCATTTTATATTACTCACCTTCTTATAAGTTTATGAAGCTCATAGATCGGATATGAGTATTGTTGCGAAAACTGTATTCTTCTAATTCCTTAACATAATTTTTTGGATATTGTTTGACATTAGATGTATAGAAATTATTTTGTTAAAATACATTTAATATGAGTGCATAATGTGTATAAATCATTCTCAAAGTATATTTTATAATTTTTAAAAACTAGAGAGTAGTTGTTTTGTCAGATAAATTAATAGTTGTTGAGATGTAAGAAGAGTACAATATCATATTTTGGAATTGATCACATAGTTTATGTTTTCTTTCTTGATTGAATTTGCACATTCTAGCTTAGAAAATTCTGGAAAAAAGTTCTTGAATATATATAATACTCGGTCGTCGGATAAACAATAGGTGGAAGGAAACAATAGGTGGAAGTGATTTTTTTATAACTAAACGAAATCCTCAATGATTGGATAAAACCTACAATTTTTTTTGATGAATTCAAGAATTTATTTTCTTAATTGATAATAATAGTTTTTTTCCATATTGGTCCCTTACATCATTAATATTTTGAAATTATACATTCAAATTACTAATTAATTTTAAATCAATAATATTTTAAGGTTTTAAACATCACTATTTATCTGAAAGACAAAATATTAAATCTAAAAAGATTTTACACATGAAAATATAAAAAAATAAATATATTATGATAATTATAAACTTTTTTATAACCATGTTATAGTGAATAAATAAACTTTAAAGTAAATAATTAAGATATTTGATCACGTGCAGTGCACGTGTATTCTACCTAGTATGATAGTATCTCTAAACTTGTTTAAATAGAAGTACTCCTTTTTAGGGTATATTGGTTTTTTTGTCCTTTACAAATAGAGTTGATGCTATATTTATTGGATTTTAATTTGTTGTTTCCTTTCTTGAAATCCTAATTGATGATCGTTAAGATTCTAACTTTACGTCTGCTTTCGATGACTTGAGAGTTCCCTTTTGAATTAGAACGAAGGCTTAATATTACGAGTTCCTTCTTGAATTAGAGTAGGATTTCTAGCTTAAAGCATGAAATATCGGATATCAAAGGTGATAATTACACTAAACCCCCATGGAGTTTCATTGTTTTGCAATATGCCCCAGTAGCTTTCAAAATCACACCAAATTAATCCCAAAAAACTTTAAAAAAGTTACACTAAAACCCCAAAAACTTTTAAAATCACATTAAATGCCCCAATAACTTTTGAGAAAAAAATCTCAAAATTAATACCATTGTATCTGATGTGACACATGCAATCCACATATCTTAAAAAGAACAAAACACTCATTAGTCATTAAAAAACCATTTATGATCTTTTTATATTTTCAACTCTAAAAACAGAAACCTAATTATTATTTTTCGTTTTCTGAAATTATCCTTCAAAATGCCTTTTTGTGTTATTTTTTCGTTCTAATTTATGGGAGTTTTAAATTATCCTTCAAAATGCCTTTTTGTGATGTTTTTTCTCTCTAAATTATCCTTCAAAATGCCTTTTTGTGTTGTTTTTTCGTTCTAATTTATCGGAGCTATGTGCAAGATGCATAAGATTATTGGGGGAGTTTTCTGTAATCCAAAAGTTATTATGGGTTCCATATTATTTTTAAAGTTGTTGGGAGTTTGCTGCAAACTGCTGAAAGTTCATGGGGATTTAGTGTAATTTATCCTTGGGCTTGATTGAATTCCTCCCACAGGCGCTTACCTAATTCGTCTTGAGCAACAGGGAACAGCTTCGATGTCTGATCCACCGTTGATTACTTCCAGCCAGCCTTTAAGGATCTGAACCGTCCATTACTATTCGCTCATATGCGTCCGAGTCAAGAACACACGTCTATTTATCTCGATTTCTCTCTAGAGCCCTACGAAGTTGGAAAGAAAAGAGGCAAAAACCCAAAAGCGATTTCGACGCAAATCCCCTTTTAGTTTATAATTCCTCTCTTTTTTTCCCCTTGAAAGTTTCTCTCCTTAGTTTTGATGGTTTGCCCTATGATTTCCCATTGGGCTGATTGGTTATGAGAGGCCTCCCATGCTTCGCGCGCTAAGAAGCCAACAAAGGTACTCTCTTTCTAAAAATGCGAATTTGCGTTTTTTAGGTTTTAATCGCAAAATGAAGATGCTTTCTTGGTACACTTTGCAATTATACAATCAAAATAGGATTTTTTTTCCCAGCTAATTTGGCCTCATTAACTTAAATTGAGAAGTATTATGGTGAAATTGTTGTAAAATGTTGAGTTGTTTATCTCCATTGTACAAAATTCTTTATTTTTGGAAACTTTGATCAAAAGTTAGGTTCTTGGTTGATTACATCGTCAGAAAGTTTATTTTCCTAGTATCATTGGAGATGGTAAGTAACTATATGGTGGGTATAGACTATTCTAGTTTAGTAAAAGTACTCTTATCAAATTACAGGAACTTGTTGACTGGAATGTTACAAAATGTCGAGCTATAAAACGTTTTAACTGTAATGAACTTATCATGAACTACTAGCCTCATGGTCCGTGCATTTTCAATATAGAGTACTATTACTTACATAGAATTTATGGTGGAATTAGATATTCATCTCAAATCATCGGACTTTACAGTATAAAGCCACGCTTTCACTCAAATGCGTAATATGTAACCTCCACTGACTTCTATAGCAAAGTTTGGTTAGTTTACATTGTCGGGATAAATTTTTTATTTTAACTGTTACAGTCTCTGCATTATGTGTCTACTGGGTATTTACTACGTTGAGCCGACTTTTATTTGTATAATATGATAAACGTTGGAAACATGATTGGGACATGCAGTTTGTTGGCATTTGTAGGACAAAGAAGATTTCGGTACCTTTTACCATCCATTCAGATCAACAACTACTCAATGATAAGACATCATGGATCACTTGTTAAGATTGGATATAATCCTTCCCTATGCAGGATATTCTCAACATTTAAGGCTCACGATAAGGTCAAGGAAAATTCATGGAAGCGGAGTTGTGCCAAGAAGTTACTTGGTCTTGCAAAGAATAGTTCTTTAACAACAAATTATGCCCAATTACACTGGAAGAGCAAGGATCTCGTACATTCTTTCCACACTGCAACCTTTCCATCTATGAAGAGTTTGGAGCCTTGGAAGGGTAATTGTGCCAATATTTCCTTTGGTCTATCAAAGTTGAGATATTCTACATCTTTTTCTGCTCAAGTAGTTGGGAAGCGGGTCAATTTCCTTCGTCCATACTATACCCATATTTCCCCCCATATAAGAAGACTGTCATGTGCTCTTAGCTTGTGTTTGACTAGATTTCATATAGTTCCTGGTATTCTTGCTTTATTTGTTGGAGGGGCAGCAAGTTGTGGAAGGACTTGGGCTGATGGAGAACACTTCCAATCAAGGGAAGGATTTTATACTACGGCACAAGATGGTTATGATTACCTATATTCTGTTCTTTATTCAATCTATGATGGGATTATATTGATTTTCAGAACCATATATTTGGCAATTTTGTTCGCTCCTGCCATTGTATTAGCTCCAGTTGTAGATACATTTGGCCTTCAGTTTAGAAAGACATGGCTTCGTCTTGTGCATTCAACTTTAGAAAAAGCAGGCCCAGCATTCATAAAGTGGGGTCAGTGGGCAGCTACTCGCCCTGATCTCTTCCCAAATGACCTGTGCATAGAGCTGTCAAAGCTCCACAGCAAAGCACCAGCTCACAGTTTTTCCTACAGTAAAATTACAATTGAAAAGGCATTTGGTCGCAAACTTTCTGAAATTTTTGAGCACTTTGAGGAGATGCCTGTAGCTTCCGGAAGTATTGCCCAAGTGCACAGAGCTTCTTTGATAATTAGATATCCTGGTCAGCAGTTGAAGAAACCTATTGAAGTTGCAGTAAAGGTTAGGCACCCTGGTGTTGGTAACTCAATTAGGAGGGACTTTATGATTATTAATCTTGTGGCAAAAATTTCGACCTTTATTCCAGGATTGAATTGGTTGAGGCTGGATGAGAGCGTACGTCAGTTTGGTGTTTTCATGATGTCTCAAGTTGATCTTTCAAGAGAAGCTGCTAATTTGAGTCGCTTTATATACAATTTCCGCAGGTGGAAGGATGTTTCATTTCCAAAGCCCCTGTATCCACTTGTACATCCATCAGTTCTTGTGGAAACATTTGAGAAAGGAGACGGTATTTCTCTTTATTTCGAGGGTCTTGAAGAAAATGCTCGCATTAAAAGAGATATTGCTCATATTGGTACTCATGCACTCTTAAAAATGCTTCTGGTACATTTCCAACCTAGTATGATCATGCTCTCAGTTACATTCATATGCTCAAATATGTGGTAAATTAGAGTCTTTAGCAGTAATAGCATGTTCGTGTTACTTGGTTGAGATTGAGACCACCTGAAACAGGTTCTGAATGCTTTCTGTCCAAGCAGTATAATACATTTGCTAATAGACATTAAATTTCAAGCTTATAAACCTGTGTAGTTGTTTATTCATGCCAAACTACATTTGTCTTCATCTCTATGACAATCTCTGAGACCGTCTCATTGTTCCCTTGTTTTAGGTGGATAATTTTGTGCATGCTGATATGCATCCTGGAAATATCCTTGTCCGAGCACCTCAGAAAAAGGGTTCAAGGAAAAACCTGTTTAGAGCTAAACCTCAAGTTATCTTTCTTGATGTGGGAATGACTGCAGAGCTTTCTAAAACTGACCAGGCAAATTTGTTGGATTTTTTTAAGGCTGTGGCAATTCGAGATGGCCGCACGGCTGCAGAATGTACACTTAGATTATCAAAGAGACAGAGCTGCCCAAATCCAAAAGCCTTTATTGAGGTAACGTCCCAGTTATGGATTATTCAAACTTTTGACTGGTAATGTTATATAATTCTGTTTATTGTTTTCTTGTAATGGATGAATCATACAATACTGGCAGCAAGTGACAAATATAACAGAATTATGAATATTCAGATATGTATGAAGTATGGGTTAGTGCTCTAGGATGTCAGTAAGTGTGCTCAAGGATGTCTAGCTAGGGTAGGGATGTTAAATGGATGAGTTTGGGTATTAAATGGGCGGGCATGTTTTACCCATTTACCCATTTATGGCCTATTTAACATTATTTAAATGGGCGGGATTTTGCCCGCCCATTTAATAAACGGGTCGCCCATTTGCCCATTTAACTATATTATGTATATGTATATAATACTTTTGGGGTGTTTTTGTAAACTTTTAGGGGGCTTTTTGTAAACTATTGTGAACTTTTTATAAACTTTTTGGGGGCTTTTTGCAAACTTGTTGGGGCTTTTGATAAAATACTAACAAAGATAGGAACATAAACAAAGATAAACAAACAAAGACAGACAAGTTCATGATTCAACCATTTACAAGCCTGGATAAAAGTACAGACCTCACACATTTGCAAAATTAACCTCAGATTTCAAAACCAAAAACCAAAAGATCAATAACAACAAAATTGCGAGAATATTTAAATGAATCAAGATAGAAAACACAAGGTATGTAAGGATCTGTATAAGATCAATAACTTGATATAAATGTCATCATAACTATCAGCAACACAATCACGATTAGTAAGGACAATCTACTTAATTACTCGATAAACTAGAAGAGTAGTAACTTCGTCTATAAACAAAATAGTAGCACAACCATAGTCCACTTATTTCCCATCTTTCAAATGTTCAGGCATGAACAGGATCATGACAGAAAGAAAAGACCAGGAAACAAACATAACACTCAGTTGGACTCAATAACAACATTAAGAGTACTGCAGCAAGCCTCATATGTGCGTCTTCATAGCAAGGGTTAGAATCCGAAATCACCATAGAGACCTCAATATTTCTCCTGCATCAATCATCCATAGAATTAGTTAATTTTGCCACAAACGTATGATATTGTCATAATAATGAAACACATAAGAGGAAGGTGAATAATTTGATTACAACGCATGGTCTTCAGAGTTCAGGCACAACATAATAAAAAGAGTTTCAGATACTCATAATCCTTTTGCTACATAGTTTTTTCCTCTTGGTTACTGCTGATTTTTTTGGGTTTTATTCTCGGATGTGTTTACCCAACTAGCATAAGATATGAAGGAAATTAGACTCCCAAGTTCCAACTAGCATAATGTTCCTAATTTTCAGTATAAGATATTGTGAAATATGGATAGGTTTCGGAACTAGATATTGTGAATGATTAGATTCTACTGTAACACATAAACAAATACATATCGTATATACAAACATGGAAATAAACAACGCTCTGCCATGGGAAACTACATAGACTTTCTCCTTGTAGTCCTTCATCTCATTCTATTTCCCTCTTCATTATTATATGCATAATGCATTATCTCAATTGTAATAAAACACGGTACCATTAACATGTGAGATGCTGTAAATGCATCTAAATGGAGACATAATTTATATCATACCTGATCTCTTCTAGTATAGCTTTCTGCCAATAGTTTCAATGCTGCACCTTTAGCATTTTGCATACGGTTTAATGTCATACTGCCACTGGCATCAACAACGAAAATTACCTGCCATAAAATAATTTTTGAAAAAACTACGACAATAAAAGGTAATAGCTTACTTCTTTCTTTCCCGTCAGGATTCCTCATAACAACACCATCAACAACTGGAGACTTGCATGCTTCTGCATGTGCATAGGAAAACCAGGTTTGAACACCAAAAGGGATCTTCGAACAAATCTCAGAAATTAAGACAAGAAATCAATTTTGGTTCAGCGTTTTGATTGCTTATGCAGGATAGAACTTCAGAAATTGACTATGTTCTCACTAGGAGAAAGAAAGTAGTATAGGATATCTTGGCCTCGAGTGTTCTCATGTTCTCACTAGACATGCATGCAGTTAAATTTGCAATGCATAATTGAAACATAAAACACCTATATTGATGGGTTTTGAAAGGCTTTTTATCTAACTGTAGATATCATGTATTATGATAAACAAACGGCAACTACTTTGACAAAAATTGCTCAACAAAATTGACAACAAGAGAGTATACAAAACAGAGACAAGCGCACAACCAGGCACATGAACAGATCAGTCACAATTATTCCACATAACACGAGTGAGCGGGTGAGGAAAAATTCCACATCACAAAGTAAAATTAATATGTACCCAAGATAATGCATCAAATATCTAGATATGCGGGCATAAAGTACAAGAAAATTCTCAAAGTTAATATCCAACTGGATAGCGCATCTAATGGAGATACCAGCAAACAAATCATTGTTAGGTTGTAGATCATAAATCTTGATTTAATTATGACAGAGTGACTCAAACCACGGATCGAGTCATGAACAATCCTTCTTGCTTGATAATTATGACATGCTTTTCCGATCTGAGAAAATAGTCTCCAGCATGGAAATAAACAAAGAAATATTTCGAAACACTTTCCAATAGAATCCTAAGTATACAATAACTTAATCCAACAGATACATTGGGGATATACTGATTCCCGTGCATATCTTATCGATCATAAGGTAAGTATTCCGTATCATAATACGTTGACATCATTGCTATTATTTTAGTTATGGTGACATATAACTTAGATAATATCAAAATGCAAGTTAATAGTAAATTACAGTTTACCATACCTAACTAATGGAAGTGTATAGATGCTAATGCTTGGATACAATTGTAACTTCAATATTTTTGACGGGTATACATGCACTTAGGATGCTTTGAGAGGCATTTAAGCAAATAACTTCTGGAGGATGTGTATACCAAAATATCCAAAAAAAGAATCTGGAATTGGTACCAACTCATCAAAATATTCATATACTTGCATGTATTTTTCTCAACTTGAAAATGTAATAATAATAATAAAGTAATGGAAAACTTTATGGAGCCAAATATTCCAAAAATCATCAAAATCACGAAGATTATGCACCAAGATGCAAATTTTCTTCTTTTATCTTGTAATTGATCCAGAAATATTTTATAGATCAAATCAAAACAATGTAAAATGAGATTAGGAAGACAATACCATAAGATATCTGATTGCAATCAATGCCAATCACAAAGAATCGAGTGGAGATCCAGCAGAGTTTGGTGCTGAGATCGAGCCTACTGCAATGAAAATAGATTTAGACAGAGGAGAATCCTAAAATTATTGAGAAAGAGAAGTAAAGAACAGGAAAAACTCTAGATACGATGGAAAATAATCAAAATTATTCAGAAAGAGAAGTAAAGAACATGAAATGAGAGATCTAGACAGACGAGAATCCTAAAATAAGGGATCGAGTGGAGAGGAGAGAATGAAGGAAGCGGAGCTCACCTTGGTGACGGAGGCGGCGTCGGGTTCGAGAGGCGGTTGAGGGGGCGGAGGAGGAGGCGCAGGAGGGATTGGGGTCGGATTTAGGCGGAGGAGGGATTGGGGTCGGATTGAGGCGGAGGAGAGCTCAGTTGCGCTGTTGAGGATTGGGGACGGGATTAGGGTTTCGGTTTGGGGAATAAGGGCGGGCGGGCAAACGGGTGAGTATAAACCGCCCATTTAGCGCCCGTTTAATATTATTTAAAATGAGTCCGCCCGATTAGACCCATTTAACTAAATGGGTGGGTTTTGAGCGGGCCAATTAATGGGTGGGTTGGGTGGGTAAATGGGTATGGGTTAAAATTGACATCCCTAAGCTAGGGTTATAATATACCATTAAACTTTTTTGATGAGTAAGTAACTTGGGAATCTTCGGTCCTCCGTGCAAATTTGTATCATTATCTTGCATTTTGGCGTGTTTCATCATTTGCCCAATGACGATCATCATGTAGCACTTCTGGATTTAGGTTTTGTCATTCTGGATCTTGAGTTTGTAATCATGTCAAAAACTTGAAGATAAGATTACATAGAATCTTTTTTTGAGGTAAGAAAACATAAGATTTATTTAGAGCACTCATACTGATTCTAGGCTGTGCCACTGTATTTAATTGTGAAGTTGTGGCTTTGTTGTAGTGATAGATATTGGATATACTAATGTAGCTTCACAGTTGTTACTTTGAACGACTATATATCAACTGTTGATGCATATGAAGGTGGTGGTATTTCGTTAGGTCAATATAAATGTTTGACAACTACCATCTTACCTAAAAGCTTGGGGTTTTTGAAGCGGACTTGTTCATGAAAAATGATTTTCTTTATATGCATAAATTCCATGTGTTTTATATTTGTTTTACTTTGCTTACTACAGGAATTGGACAAAACATTTACTTTTTGGGGTACTCCGGAAGGTGACATCTTCCATCCCGCTGAGTGTATGTACCAATTGCTTGATACAGTTCGGCGCTATAAGGTCAATGTTGATAGCAATGTGTGCACGGTGATGGTAACCATATTGGTTCTCGAGGTAAATTTTTCCTACTTGCTGAGAAAAAATATGCATCCTATTTTATCTGCAAAATTATCAGGCAGTCATGTAGGTGGTTCTGCATTAAATAACTGTTTAATAGTTTTACTTTTAGTGCTTGTTCTCGAGGCAACTTTTTTCTACTTGCTGAGATAAAAATATGCATCCTATTTTATCTGTAAAATTATTGGACAGTCATATAGCTATTTTGCATTAATTAACTGTTTAATATTTTACCTTTAATGCTTGATATGTCAATGGAGAAGACCACGATTATTTGCTTAATGAATTTGTTTTGTTGTTTACTGGCATGTATATAATATAGTTTCTCCTCTACTTCTGGCAAAGCTTACATATAACCAAAAAAAAACTATGACATGGTGCATTTTAATTAATATATTGATATATTACTTTAGCCTTTCTTTGTGTGCTGTAGAAGTAAAGCTGAAACACAAATTTATGCATACGGAAGTATTAAACTTGATATCATGTCAACTAAAGATTTAGCATATTTTTGCTATATGTTATTAAAAAAGATCTCTAATTTGTGTTTGTTTGATTCTTAGGGCTGGCAACGCAAGCTAGATCCAAACTACGACATTATGCACACACTGAAGACGTTATTGCTTAAGGAAGACTGGGCACAACCCATTGATTACTTTTTTTCCTGAACAATTTTGACATCTGATTATAGGTCCTTCAAGTTATACAGAACGACACTCAAAACCAGTTTTTTAGGTATTTTCCTCTATCTAAATCTAACTTTATTGACATTGCAATTAATTTCCATCTGTGATTTCTGCTTCACTTAGTTCGCAACTGTAGCATAAATGAATTAGTGATAAAAACAAAGTGAGTTCTGAAATTTAAGTATGGGTTTTAGTAGATTATACATAGTCAATTTCTAAGAGAAATGGATTATTAACGAAAACAAAGTCAATTTCTAAGAGATGATATATTTCATCTCACCTTTAATTTGCTTACTTTCATATCTGACCTTTTGTTAATCATTTCAGCAAGCACATTCCTTTAACATCTCCACGTTCTTGGTATGTTAATGAGAACTATGATTATATTCTTGTTAAAATGTGTTTGAATGGATATGGTTCAGAATAATTTATCATCTTTATTGCCAGGACCAACATGCTTTCTCTTAAAGGCCCTCATTAATTTATTTGCACATTGCTACATAAGAAAGGTCATCTTTGCTACATATAAACTACTGTCGGATGCAAATAAAAAGTATTCTTTCCCTTTGGTATTTTTAAGGTTACAAATTCACACCTCAAATCATCATTGCTAATTTGCTGAGCCAAAATATGTCCCACCATAATTGTTACGAAATAAAAGTAAAATTAAACTCAAGTCTAGGAGAATTTGGGTCTGGTCTGAATCCTCCAAAAAGAGCAAGAGAGAACCCATGTTCTTTCTGTGTTAGGAAGAAGAGGGAAAAAAACTCTTCCATGGGTTTATTGAAGGAGAAAGAGGAGGAAGAAGAGGGAGGGATAATAATAAATTAATAATTCTCATAGATTGGTGGGCAGATTGGCAAATATAAACACTCGAAGCTAATTTCAAAATAGGATCTAGAAACTTCTGATGGAGGAAAATGATTACAATTATAGTACCTTGACTCATCTTTCAAATCAAAAGTTAAACCCTATTTATGTATTTTTTATACTATCTTCTTCATTTTCTCTTTTAGGCTGAGTTTTAGCTATATCTTTTCCCTTAGAAACTATTTTCAAAATCTTACTTAGTAGTGCTTTAAAGTAAATCTTTATTATCATTTATTAAAGAATGATGAATTATATTATTCAATTAAATGTGAAATTCTCATAGCATATAAAATTCTTTTGAGGAAAAATGCCTGGCATCTACATAACATAAAAATAAAATTTGGCAAAGTTTTATGAAGTTTGAAAAGGAAAAAAGATATGGCATTGAAAGAAACTGAAAGAAAATAACAAGTTGAACTTGTATATCAGTTATTAGATTCCTCATTTAATCTTACAATGGGATTATATTTTTTAAATTATATTTATCTATTTTATCATGGAAAATCTATGAATTCTTACAGGAAAGTAAGATTAGAATTGTATATTTTATTTGGTAGTTGCTCTGGTAAATCAATTTCATGGTAGTTCTGTCGGAAAAAAAGCAGTGAAAGCTTATGGTATAATTTCTTCAATTTACCCTTTATTTTTATACAGTATAGACATGCCTACAACATGCTTTGAATTTAATCTGGATATTTCTACCATATGAAGGAGAGGTTTGTTGAATTTTGTCGTTTTATACTGGTTATGTGAAGATAATATTTTCAATTTGTAGTGTCTGAAGAAAATAGAGAAAGGTTGTTCTTGGTCATGATGGGTTGTATGTTACCTTTCTTTAATTTCTATGCAGGTGATTTGTCTTTAAGGAAGAGCCTGAGAAAAGAGTAGTTAACAGTGAAATATTCTTTCAGAATCTTGCAGCAGTTTAGGATTTAAAATGATTCTTCTTTTCTTTTCTTTTCTTTTTTTGTCTTCTATAGCAGGAATAATTAAGCTGCATGTTGCTATCATCCATAAAATGATGTGCTGATCAATTACAAGCTGCTTTTGCTCGAATAATTTTCTTATACTTTTATTGTATTTGTGCATCTTATTTTAGGTACTTGAGTTTTGTGTGAATTCCGGAGTAAGCAAAGGAAATGCTGAACGCTTGTACCATTTGTACTACAATGCTGTGGGTAGCAATGTCAATGAATTGAGTCAAAATTTTAACTGATCGTCGTTTAATATGTTTTCTTGATTCATTATTGAACAAATAATTTTGTGCTTCAATATATTTTGGTTAGCAAATTGGGAAAAATGTGTCCAGGCCCCAAAAGCAGAATGTTCATGTGACCCGCCCCCTTGTATTTTGCCCCATGTGATTCAGCCCCAAAAAGTACCATTTAATATTTTAAGGCCCCTCCACGTCAGCAGTATAAAAAAAGTGATTGTATTTTGAAAAAAAACCCGAAATTACCCCTCCACTTATCTTCCCTAGATGTCTGGTCCACAAACTACATGGAAAGTCACGCCCATTAATGCAATCTGATGGAAAAAATAGAGGGAAATTTCCCGCCATTTTTTGAACTCTATCATGAGCAATAACTCATGTTAGTTCTAAGTTATTTAATGTTAGTTCTAAGTTATTTAATGTTAGTTCTAAGTTATTTAATGTTAGTTCTAACTTATTTTATGTTAGTTCTAATTTAGTTCTAATTCATGTTAGTTCTAATGTTAGTTCTAAGTTATTTAATGTTTGTTCTAACTTATTTTATGTTGTTCTATGTTAGTTCTAATTTAGTTCTGACTTATTTAATGTTAGTTCTACTTCCAGCTAGTGTTGGTTCTAATATAAGCGTTAGTTCTAGTGGCTATATTAGTTCTAGTTGAGCTCCTGTTAGGACTGACACGATACATGTTAGAATTGATACTGGAGAAGCTAGAACTAACACATCATCAAGTAGAAGTAATATGACATTTAGACCTAACAATTACGCTGGAACTAACGACTTAAATAAATTAGAACTAACACGATACCAGTTAGAACTAACACTAGAGAAGCTAGAACTAACACATCATTAAATAGAACTAACATGGCGTTTAGACCCAACAATTACGTAGAACTAATGACTTAAATAAATTACAACTAACACGATATCTGTTAGAACTAACACTAGAACTAACACATTAAATAAATTAAAACTAACACGAGCTGGTAAAAATTAGAACTAACCGTCAGTTCTAGTGTATACCACGTTGCTTCTAATTTATACCAAGTTAGTTGTAACTTATAGCAAGTTAGTTCTATTTTATACCACATTAAGCGTTATTTTATAACAAGTTAGTTCTAAATTATACCACGTTAGTTCTATTTTATACCATGTTATATCTAATTTATACAAAGTTTGTTCTATCTCATATAATAAGTTAGTTCTAATTTTAACCATATTAGTTCTAATTTATCCCAAGTCAGTTCTAATTATACCAAGTTAGTTCTATTTTATAACAAATTAGTTCTAATTTATACAAAGTTAGTTCTATTTTATAACAAATTAGTTCTAATTTATACAAAGTTAGTTCTATTTTATAACAAATTAGTTCTAATTTATACCAAGTTAGTCCTATCTTATAACAAGTTAGTTCTAATTTTAACCATATTAGTTCTAATTTATCCCAAGTCAGTTCTAATTATACCAAGTTAGTTCTATTTTATAACAAATTAGTTCTAATTTATACAAAGTTAGTTCTATTTTATAACAAGTTAGCTCTAATTTATATCAAGTTAGTCCTATCTTATAACAAGTTAGTTCTAATTTTAACCACATTAGTTCTAATTTATCCCAAGTTAGTTCTAACTTATAGCAAATTAGTTCTATTTTATAACAAGTTAGTTCTATTTTATAACAAGTTAGTTCTAATTTATACATGAGCTTCGATAGAACAAACATGAGCTAACTCTAGTTATTTATGCCATTTTTTAAACTCTATCAATAGCTAACTCATGTTAGTTCTAACTTATTTCATGTTAGTTCTAACTTATTTTCATGTTAGTTCTAACTTATTTTATGTTAGTTCTAATGGCAAGTAAGAGCTAACTTTAAGTGGAACTAACATTAACACTTTGGCTACTTGGTCTAGTGGTAAAGCTTGGGAATTTGGAGAGGAGGTTAGGAGTTCAAGCCCATGCAACTACAATATATATTTAAAGGTCTTTGATTGGGCCTTGGGCCTTGGGGCTCTTGGGCTCTTTGTTAGTTCTAGCCATTAGAACTAACATTCCAGCCCTTAGAACTAACATTGGGCTCTTTGTTAGTTCTAGCCATTAGAACTAACATTCCAGCCCTTAGAACTAACATTGAGTTCTTTGTTAGTTAGCCCAATGTTAGTTCTAGCCATTAGAACTAACATTCCAGCCCTTAGAACTAACATTGAGTTCTTTGTTAGTTAGCCCTTTGTTAGTTCTAGCCATTAGAACTAACATTCCAGCCCTTAGAACTAACATAACAGCCCTTAGAACTAACATTGGGCTCTTTGTTAGTTCTAGCCATTAGAACTAACATTCCAGCCCTTAGAACTAACATAACGCCCTTAGAACTAACATTTATAGTTCTAATTTTCCTTGACCCCCCCTTTCAAATTCACAGGTTCTTAGATTCTTTAGTCGACTTTTAATCACATTATCTTCAATTTTTAGCTAAATGTCGATATGTCTGAAGATTCAATGTGAGCTTTTGAATTTCTGCTGAACATTGGGCTCTTTGTTAGTTCTAGCCATTAGAACTAACATTCCAGCCCTTAGAACTAACATAACAGCCCTTAGAACTAACATTTATAGTTCTAATTTTCCTTGACCCCCCTTTCAAATTCACAGGTTCTTAGATTCTTTAGTCGACTTTTAATCACATTATCTTCAATTTTTAGCTAAATGTCGATATGTCTGAAGATTCAATGTGAGCTTTTGAATTTCTGCTGTTAATCTCTTATACAAAACTCTGTCAATCACCAAACCACACAAGAAAAAGGCATTAAAGAAAAACTCAAACTGCTGTTCAAGAATCCAAGGAGATCTCATTTCAATTAAATGAAAGAGAAAAACTACAAAAATCCAATATTGATTCCCTTCATAAATTACAAGAAAACAAGAGCACTATCTTGATTAAGACATTGATTTGGGTAAAGATATTCCGTAACCTAGAAAGGGGAGAACAACGATGCATCAGACCAAAGCTCCAGGCTCCGTCAGCTCGCGGGTCCTCGGACCATGTTCCGTGTTTGTTATTGAACCCGCGTTCACGAGCTGTTTCTAAGATGACTCCCCGACCTCCGACTCCATGACCACCGTCCTCGCCTTCGCCTTCCACGACCTCCTCAGTCTGATCATTTTCAGCGGCCATGACGGAAGTGAGAGAGAAGGAGAAGCTGAGAGATAGAGTGGAGAGAGAGAGAGAGAGAGAGAGAGAGAGAGAGAGAGAGAGAGAGAGATGTGATGGGGTTAAAGGGATGGGTGCAGTTACCAAGCTCAATCAAATCAAAGGGTAAATTTGTAACTTTTGTTGGGTTTTTCTCAGGATCTGGTACTTTGGGGCCTTAACACAAATACAATGTGTATTTGGGGCTGAATCACATGGGACAAAATACAAGGGGGCAGGTCACATGAACTTTCTGCTTTTGGGGCCTGGACACATTTTTCCCTAGCAAATTTCATTTAAAGGTAGATAAGACGTAAACTTGATCTTTATGTATATTGCAGTTTCGGGTTCTTGTAAGAGAAGAAACTGCAAGCAGTGTGTAAATTTATGCACAACAGAAACAGGAAACTTTGATTATTTTACTTCTACAAACTGGAAATGCAGCCAGCCTTTACCTTGTTATAAGTGCATGAAGATGTAAGCATTCAAGGGATTACATGAATATTTATCATCATAAGGTTGTAGGGGAAATAACTTACCTTTTATATCTGAACGGGTTGCTGAAGACTGTTTCTTTATTTAGAGCTTCCAAGTTTCTAAGTATGTAAGAGTACCCAGTTATTAACATGTTATTTATATGCTTGGGCAGAGGGAGAGAGTATCAGGGTGATATTATATTATTTGGGTTTTTTTTTCCAATCTCTAGTGTCAGGTTGCCTTATATTAGTTGGTTTCTATGTGGTTGGAGTTGTTTTATGTGTCAATCAAACGAGAAGGCGGTTTTGTTGAAGAGAATCTAGATGCAGAGAGGAGGATAAAGGTTGTCTTGGGCCATGGTGGCCCTTGGGTTGCATTTGTTTCTGTTTCTTTAATTTGCTTTGCATGTGGTAGACGCAGGGAGAATGAGTAGTTAATCATCTTATGTCCTCTAGCCTGCCTTGGAATTTATGAATAGTTGAATATGTTTCTGTTAGAAGATAAAATTTTCTGATACTTGTAAGAGTTTGATTCCCTTACATTATGTTTTTCCTTGTATTATGTCACTAGGCAATCTAGCGTGGAAGAAAAATTTCATCGGCACTGGAAAGAACCATATGACGGTGTTGGGTGAAATTTTGATTGATTTATCATTTGTGTTGCCATTGGGCTTAAAGCAGCGCTCAATAGTTTTATTGGGTCTGAATTAGTTGATAGTGAACCATATGTTGGTGTTGGGGGAAATTTTGCTTGATTTATCTTTTGTGTTGCCATTGGGCTTAAAGCAGCACTCTATAGTTTTATTGGGACTAAATTAGTAGATAGTGAACTAGATATTGATGAAACAATGATTTGCCTACACAACGCTCAAGGTGACCTTCTAACGAGATCTTTGCAAAATTTGTTTAGGAGATGTTTGTTGCAAATCCTATAATTTTAGGATATGGATTTTACTATGGGATTTGAAATCCATACGTGTTTTGTTATGGGTTGAGATTTCTAAAATGTTGTTTGTTTCATAAAAATTTTGGGATTTGGAATACTACAATTTATAATATTTTGTTTGTTTCAAGCTTAAATTGTAGCATTATCAAACGCTAAAATTTTGTAATATGATGAATATGCTATCTTGGTGAGGTTATCTTCCATAAAAAGACATAATTGGGATTTTTTAAATCCTCTCCAATTGAGAGGTAAGCACACACATTTATGGAAATCCTCTCCAATTGAAAGGATTTGATAAATTCTAAAAATTAGGTACTTTTTGTACTTTTGGGATTTAATATTGTAAAAATTTTTATAAAACAAACACCATATATCGAATCCCAAAATACAAAAAAAAAACTCATTTTTTGATCCCAAAACTTTTAATCCATACCAAATGTCAAAATTTTTGGTGAAACAAACACCTCCTTACCTAATCTGTGTAGAGCGCCTCTTCACATCTTGTGAATACTCAAATGCTATGCCCATAATAGGTACCAGTACAATTAATTTTTTTTATTCTGTCTCTTTCTCTTTTGTGGTACATCACCAAAATTTCCTATAAAAAGGCTTTCATGTTTTAATGTCCTCTCCACATGCTCATTGTTAGGTTACACCCCCGTTTCGTGCGCATAATATAAACAAAGTCCTGATAACCCAAGTCAGGTAAAGCGAGGGTCCCAGGCTGCAACCAGAGCTAGTTTGAGTCCAAAATCCAATAGCTCATTTCACCGGCTAAACTCTTGCACCATTCATCAAACCCAGCCCCCTTTGCCTCAGAAAGCGCCCTGCTCTCTGATAGGCTACTGTGAGTACTCTCTCAGAGACCCTTACTAGCGTCCCAATGCTTCAAAACCTGCAATCTCATCAATCAAACAAAAAAAAAAAAAAAACTTCAACAGAAAGACACGAGTGAGAGAAAAGTAACATTATTTCCCACTCGCCCACTTCTTCTTACCTCTAGTCCATGGCAAGCCACTATCCTCTGCAACGCCAATAATAAAAATATCATATCGTCTCTCGTTCCATGCCCCGATCGATGCAAATAAAGAAAACCTTAGGAAAAAGTGTGAGAAAAAAGGTTCAATAATAATCTCCCATGGGATTTGAGATGCGGCTTTTTGTGGGTATGATTATATACTTGTGGTATGTGTGTTGTTAGCATTGTTTTTGTCTTCTCTTATATACTTCACGTTGCCCTAAGCCTTGGGGTTGTCTTTTCCATTAAAATATGGGATTGTCCTTTAGCTCTCTGTATTATTTCCCTCTTGTCCTTGCTAGGTGAGGGAATAGGAATATTAGGGGATCTGATTAAAGAAGATGTGCACCAAAAGTATTGTTTGTTAATTAATTAACCTTCTAAAAGTAATGCTCGTTTTATAGTGCCAAAAGTTCCACCTAAGTGAGAATCTTTCCCCCCCTTTTCTCTCTAATTTTTGTTTTCTTTCGTGTTTGTTTCTTTTCTAAAGTTGCTGATTTAGCTGTCAAATACTACTAGCCTGAGGGCAGGCTCGTTGTCTTGTTGTCTCCAGTCAGAGGATCTCAATCCCATCTCATGAAGGGAAAGGCTACTTTAGGGGTGTTTTTGTAATTGTGTAATTTCTATCAGGGTAGTTTTGATTTGATATCTTATTGGCACAGTGATCGGTCTGGCCTGTGGCTAACTTGGAGGGTGGGGTTAAGGCTTGTTCACGATGACTTCTTTTGACTGTGTAAGTTTATAAATTTTGTAAATTACACTAAACCGCGGTGAACTTTCAGTGTTTCGTAGCAAACTCCCATGGACTTTAACAATTACACTCAACCCCAAAAAACTTTTGCAGAAAACTCTATAGACTTTTAGGCAAATTAAACTAAACCTAAACCCCCATGAGCTTTCAAATGGCCTTTTATGTTGTTTCTAGTTCTAATTTATGGGGGTTACCTACAAAACTCTGGAAGTTCATTGGGGGCTTTTCGCAATTCTAAAAAGTTCATGGTTTTTTTTTTACAAAACTCTGAATGTCCACTGGGATTTAGGGTAATTTACCCTTTATAAATTAGGAAAATTACAATATATTAAAGGTTAAGGATTTAAAAATTAGGTCAAAAAAGGTAATTAGCTCGCAATGTGCATTTTTATTTGTGAAGGAGGTTGAGTAATAGGTCATTTTTCAATTACAATCATCTATGATTTAATTAAAAATCAAGATTGGTTTTGAGTAAAAGGTAGAAATAAGTTTAATTCATAAAGTTTATGACGATAGTTTATGGCTGAGGGTTGATTAGGTACATGTAGATTAAGAGTTAAAAGTTCCAATGCCATTGACAACCAAAGAGGAAAAGAGTTGCTTTCTTGAAAAAAAAAATGGGGAAAAGAAAGTGGAGCCTCATGCATGTACACTGAGAAAGTTAAAAGTTTAGGTAAACACAAAAGAAAGACATGCGTATTTTTGTCAAAAATGTCATGAAATTTAATACATAAAGATAATCAGACCCCAATCTTTTTCAAATGTAAAATATACTACTGTGCCATGGGGTCATATTGGGAAAGAAACATGAAACAAGTTGGGCTTATTTATTTCAAAATTTGGACATGGGCTTCCAAATACGTCCACTCACGCGAAGGGGTTGGTGAGCGAAACGGCATCAACATCCACATGTTTGGCTTGGGTTTTGTAACTTGACACTGTTTCATGTGACTAGAGTATGGACCCCATTCATTCCCAAAATGCCCCCACACAGAAAACAGAGTCCGACCAGAATACCCCTACAAACATTTCTTCTCCTCGACAGTTGTTTCTCGGGGGAATCATCATAGTTGCGACACTTATATACCAAAATTTTGAGTTTATTCCCATAATACACCTGTAGGCTATGGCCCTTGGGGGCATTATCATGTGATTACCACGAGGAGATGAGCTTTCTATCATCACGTGGTTAATTGTAGTTTGTTGATTTAGCTGTACGCTGTTCTGAGAGTAACAGAGGATTCAACAACCAACGGTACGAGAGGGGGAAGACGGTCCAAAACCCCCTGGCAATTTTCCGCCAGAGAATGAGGTCGAAAAGGACGCGACAAAAGACACGCCCATATCCCTCGCACAGAAATTTTGCAGATTGCTCCCTTTAAACCTGGTTTATTTTATCCATTGGTGTAACGTGTCTGTAGACTATAAAACACAAAAAATATTGGAGGAAAATCTGCAAAATATCACTGTTAAAATTAAAAGGGAAAAATGTGTCCAGGCCCCAAAAACAGAAACTTCATGTGCTGCAGCCCCTCCTAGTTTCCCCCATGTGGTTCAGCCCCTTGAAGTGTGACATTTTGTGCTGCAGCCCCTTTTTAACAATTATTAGATGCCAGCTAAGTTAAAATCCCCAAAATAACCTTATCCCTTCTTCTCAATCCTTCAAACCCAGTTCTCTCTCTCTCTCTCTCTCTCTCTCTCTCTCTCTCTCTCCCCCCCTCTCTCTTTAAAAACAATGGTTTTCTCAAGCTCGTCGCTCTGGCCCTCGTCCTCCTCGCCGTCGCCACCTCCGCCCAGGCTCCCAAGCCTCCCCCGAGTTCGCCGCCGCCTCCCCTCCTCTCCTCCGCCCGACCTCGTCGCGGTAGCTCGCCGTCGCTCCCCGTCTAGCCCTCGACTACGCCGGAGTTCGCCGCTGCGCCTGCCACTTTTAAACCCTATAGTATGGTAGGCCGGAGGAGGATGACCAAGAGAAAAGAGTGGATGATGCCCAAGAAAAATGAAAATGAAGGGGCTGCAGACACAAGGAAAAAGGTCTAATTTATAAATTATTATTCATCAAGTGACCTTAACATTCCAACTTTCATAAATTAGAACTAACGTGGTATAAATTAGATAAAATTAGAACTAATATGGTTAAAATAAGAACTAACGCGGTATAAAATAGATCTAACACGCTACAGAATAGAACTAACACTGTGCAGAATAGAACTAACACGCTACAGAATAGAACTAACACTGTGCAGAATAGAACTAACACGCTACAGAATAGAACTAACACTGTGCAGATTAGAACTAACACGCTAAGAATAAGAATAACAATGTAGGCATGTTTAGAACTAACACGCATGTTAAACTACACGACAGAATAGAACTAACATTGTAGCGTTGTTAAACCTAACACTGTTTATTCGTGTTAGAACTAAACAATGTAGAGTGTTCTATGAATTAACACTTGTAGAGTGTTAGACTAACACTGTAGCGGTGTTAGAACTATTACCCGCTACAGTAGTGGGTATTTACCCTTTCCTTTTTCTTTCAAATGGCTTTAATTTTAGCCATTTGTTTTCTCACGTAGCTTGGAAGACAACAGTTAATGCTTGGCAGCTGAACTGCAGCTGCTCTCTAAGGCACAGGTAATGTATGGAGCCTCCCAAATGAATTCCACTAGCATATCAGATGTGGGATTCTCTTTGTGTCCGTGCTTCAGGCCACACTTGCCACATGAATTGTGTTTGTTCTAGAGACCTGAGGAGCTGGGATGGTCACCACAAAGGCTATAACAATCAATGCTTCTAGTAGAGGAAGTAGAGTTGGTTATAACTAAACATAAACCCACTTGTTTCTCGACCTGTTTTGAGAAACCCAAGAAACACATTGTATGTTTAAATCTTTAATAATATTTAACTAGTGCAAGAAAATGCAAGAGTGGTGAATACATGTAAACATCAAACCTTGTCGTAAGCGCAGAATTTTCCATATAAGTAAATTAAACAGCTATATAAACCTGATTATGATGATCTATTATGACATAAAAGTTGCACTTTACCCTAATTTAAAATTCTTCCTGACATAGTATCAAAGAAAAACAGGATTTAATCAATCCTGCAAATATGTTGTTTAACCAAAAAAGTTCAACTACATATCTGCACTTCGCATTTTAGGCAGACTAGACCAAGTATCAAATAGCTGATAGCTCTTTGGCTCTCATGAAAAGTCTGTCAATTGGACAAAGATGGTAAAAATTATAGGCATAACTAATTAAAGTTGAATACAAAACAAAATGTACAGCCTCGATTACTGAGACTCAGGTAACCAAAAGATACTACATATATCGACAAACACTTCAAAAAGGAAATCTGTTACCTTTGAAAACACAATGGGCTGCCCATTTGAAAAGAAAATTAAGACGAGAGTTTGCTATTAAATAGGCGCACCTAAGTTAGCAATTGCTGTTTTCTTCCATCACAATATAATTGCATGTGACTCAAAATACACAGGTTCAACTCAATTTGTAAATATCCAGTCCGAGGACGAATCTTGGGCAAAATTAATACAATGTGATTGTCAATAAGTAGTAAACTGCTCAGAATTCTAATGTTCTCTCACAGTATAAACTATGACATCTTACCAATCAACTCGATAGCAGGAAAAAAACATACCTGTTGCCTTGAGATGCCAGCTTGCAATTTTCCAGCTCAGATCTAACTTAACTGTGTCTTTCAACTACGTGAGGAAAAAACATTGCTAAAATTAAACGCATTTGAATAGAAAAGAAAGGTAAATTACCACTACTTGTAGGCGGTGTAAAGGTTTCTATTACTACGTCTACATGTGTTAGTTCTAATCTGCATAGTGTTAGTTCTATTCTGTAGCGTGTTAGTTCTATTCTGCACAGTGTTAGTTCTGTTCTGTAGATGTTAGTTCTAACACGCTACAATGTTAGTTCTATTCTGTAGCGTGTTAGTTCTAACATGCTACAGTGTTAGTTCTATTCTGTAGCGTGTTAGTTCTATTCTGCACAGTGTTAGTTCTATTCTGTAGCGTGTTAGTTCTATTCTGCACAGTGTTAGTTCTATTCTGTAGCGTGTTAGCTCTAATCTGCACAGTGTTAGTTCTATTCTGTAGCGTGTTAGATCTATTTTATACCGCGTTAGTTCTTATTTTAACCATATTAGTTCTAATTTTATCTAATTTATACCACGTTAGTTCTAATTTATGAAAGTTGGAATGTTAAGGTCACTTGATGAATAATAATTTATAAATTAGACCTTTTTCCTTGTGTCTGCAGCCCCTTCATTTTCATTTTTCTTGGGCATCATCCACTCTTTTCTCTTGGTCATCCTCCTCCGGCCTACCATACTATAGGGTTTAAAAGTGGCAGGGGGCGCGGCGAACTCCGGCGTAGTCGAGGGCTAGACGGGGAGCGACGGCGAGCTACCGCGACGAGGTCGGGCGGAGGAGATCGAGGAGGGGAGGCGGCGGCGAACTCGGGGGAGGCTTGGGAGCCTGGGCGGAGGTGGCGACGGCGAGGAGGGCGAGGGCCAGGGCGACGAGCTTGAGAAAACCCTTGTTTTTAAAGAGAGAGGGGGGAGAGAGAGAGAGAGAGAGAGAGAGAGAGAACTGAGTTTGAAGGATTGAAAAGAAGTGATAAGGTTATTTTGGGGATTTTAGCTTAGCTGGCATCTAATAATTGTTAAAAAAGGGCTGCAGCACAAAATGTCACACTTCAAGGGGCTGAACCACATGGGGGGAACTAGGAGGGGCTGCAGCACATGAAGTTTCTGTTTTTGGGGCCTGGACACATTTTTCCCAAATTAAAATTAGATATAACAAATAAAACATACCATACAAAGGCAAAATTTAACTTAAGAAATTGAGGACAGAGAAAAGAATTAATATAAAAATGGAAATTGTGACAAAATTATTAACTTGGATACTAAAATTGGAAGACTCAATATATACCCCTTAAACAATTTGAAATCATATTTTTCATTTTAATTTATCAATTTTTAATTTCAATTTCTTACAAAATCTTTTTGGAAAAAATATTGAATTTTACTTTTCCTATATTATTTTATTGGGTTTTGTTATCGCCGTTTTAGTGATGGAAAATAATCTCTAATCAATGGTAGACAAGTATCTCACATTCTGCATAATCAAGTCAGCATCTTAAGATAATCAGATGTCCAATTCGGTCGACTCAACACGTTGACATCTTGCGAGAAAGACTCGAAAGTCGTCACATGTTAATGACCCGAAAAGCGTTATGTGTCGTCCCCTAATTGAGTCGACTGCTTAACCACTCAACTCGGCCGACTCATTGGCCGACTCATTGGCCGACACCTTACGAGGGCGACTCAAAAGGCGATACTTCTCGACCATTCGACGAGTAGAAAGGCAACGAAACACCTCGAGCATCGAGCCCCTCCTGTGAACTGATGTCCAATCACCTCGCAATAAATGCTATTAAATGGATTATGGGCGCCATCATTTCTCTGCCCCTAATAGTATTTATAACATATCGGACCACGTCGGCACTGCACATCCACCATCACTTAGCATTAAACATCAAAATGATATCTTCTCCACTTGTCGGCTGACACCTGTTAAGTTGAGACTGACGTGGCCGCCAACCATGCTCGGCCGAAATTACCCTTCTACCCTCATGCTCCTACTATAAAAAGATATATTATTTTCAATTACAGGGTAAATTCTTTGCTACTATTATCTGTGCTCAAGAATTATTACAGTCCATTTTGCTTCTCCACACAAGCAACTTACTTACTTGATCGTCGAAAGAACAATCGAGGAACCAGACCCCGCCCACTTACGATTTGTTACTTTTGCAGGGAAGAACAGCTTGCTCAAAGACCAAACATTCAGAGAGTTAGAAAACCTCAATCAATTTAATCAACTCCTTTTATTTTGGCTGTGTGATTCCATACATCAACATGTTTGTTGTTTCTGTAGACCACTAAACCTTTCAATTTAGTTTCTCAAATCTGATATTTTGAAATTAGTCTTCCAAAGTTTTCATATTTTAAATTAGTCCTCCAAATATTTCTACCAGCTGCTAACTAGGTGGACAAATTTGAAAAGATTTAAAAGATTATAGGGAGTAATTTCAAAATATAAAGATATGTGGAATAACTAATTCCGAAATATTTGATGTGTGGGAGACTAGTTTGAAAATATCAAAATTTAGGAGACCAAGGGCATGTTTGGTTGATTTCCAAGTAATGACGAAATAAGATTCCAATGAAAAAAGCCATAATTTGAGTTTTTCATACATTTCTTTCAAAAGTTTTTTTTTTTTGCTTTGCTTCGCACAACGGAAGGATAGAGGAATTCTACCTCATCATAAATCTATGCTTTGGATTAAATCTTGAAACTAGGAAATTGCATATTAGGAGAAGACAGTAACTCAAGAAACTTATCGCCAATCATTTTTCAATATTTTTAAAGCGTTTTCCTCTCAATCCATATTAAAAATTCGGAATTGGCTTTTCCTTAAAAGATGACGTTTTGTTATTGTTATAGCCATTTTAGTGATGAAAAATAATCTCTAACTAATTACAGACAAGTGTCTCATATTATGCATAATCAAGTCAGCACCTCAAGAAAATTAAAAGTTCAACTCAGTCGACTCAACATGCCAACATCTTGTGAGGACAATGCGTCATATGTCGATAACCTAAAAAGCGTTACATGTCCTCCCCTGGTTGAGTTGACTGCTTAACCACTCCACTTGGCCGACTCAACAACCGACATCTTACGAGGACGACTCAAAAGGCAGTACTTCTCGATCACCAGACGAGTAGAAAGGCGACGAAACGCCTCGAGCCCTCATGTGCACTGATGACCAATCACCTCCTAATAAATGTTATTAAATGTATTATGTGTGCCATCATTTCTCTGCTCCCATTAGTATTTATAACACATCAAACCACATCAGCACTGCACCCCCCGTCACTTCGCATTAAACACCAAAATGACATCTTCACCACTCGTTAGTCGACACCTGTAAAGTTGAAGCTGACTTGGCCGCCAGCCATGCCCGGCCAAAGTTACTATCCTACCCCTCCTTCCACTACTATAAAAGGAGATACTATTTTCAATTATAGGGTAAGCTTTTTCTCATTACTCTCTAAACTAAAGAATTTACTACAGTAGTTCCTTTTACTTTCCCACATGAGCAACCCACCAGCTTGATCGCCGGAGGAACAACCGGGAAATCACACCGCGCCC